AGAGGAACTGGCATCCAGTAATGAGTTAGGCTTTGCTGGTGTCTGGCCCTACAGATGGCTCTTTGGAGAGGAAAAAATTAAGCCAGGCCAGACAGCACAGATCCTAAGGGAATGCTGGCAGCTCTAGGCTGTCTATGGAAGAGAAGCAGAGGGTGGCACCTGGTTGAAAGAGGGGGCTGGGGGACATAGCTTGAGCCTGTGTTTACAGATGGAGTACCCTGATTCCTGCGACTGGGGAAGGAGATCATGCCCGGATCAGGGGACCTCAAATCAGAACCCTTCCCATCCACACACCTTCTTTTCAGGGCATCTTTCATTGCAAACGACAAACAAACTAGTCGGAAAGCTCAGCGGATTCTCACGGTGGTGCCTAGCAGGCCAGGCCTAGCTGCCCTTTAACCTGTGACTGAGGATAATGCCACTGGCCTGTAACCACACACTGGAAAATCTTTACATCCATGGACACGCCATGCCCACAGAGACAGCTGTGCATGGTTCTTTATGTTTGGGGTGCTGTCCTGGCAGTTGCCTTACAAATATGTAGGATTAAAATGGGATGCCCTAGAGCTTATCTAACCTTTATCCTCCTCCCCCGCCAAAATGAAGGGGAACTAGTTTTGTTAGCTTTATGGAAGATGGATCTGTCATTGTTTTTAGAACCTTCGGAGAAAGATTTCTTGGGAGGAAGCTATCCTGAACCCCAGAGATTTTTCTCATTTTTCATTGCAAACAACAGATAAACTAGTTGGAAAGCTCAGCAGATTCTCACGGTGGTGCCTAGCAGACCAGGCCTAGCTGCCCTTTACCCTGTGACTGAGGGTGATGCCACTGGCCTGTAAGCACACACTGGAAAATCTTTACATCCATGGACACACCATGCCCACAGAGACAGCTGTGTGTGGTTCTTTAGGTTGGGGGTGCTGTGCTGGCAGTTGCCTGATAAATATGTAGGATTAAAATGGGATGCCCTGGAGCTTAGCTAATCTTTATCGCCCCTCCCACCCCTCTAAAATGAAGGGGCTGTTAGTTTTGTTTGCTTTGTGAAAGATGGATCTGTCATTGTTTTTAGAACTTTGGAGAAAGATTTCTTGGGAGGAAGCTATCCTGAACCCCCAGAGATTTTCTTATTTACAGGTGCACCAGCTTTAGAGTCCTAGATCTTCATCCTGGCTCAGCCACCCTCCAGCTGTGTGACCTTTGAGAAGTTGCTTGACTACACTGAGTCTTGTCATCTACGAGTGAAGGTTGCTACATTGCTACTGTGTGGAGCACCTACCCCCAGGCAGTCTTATAGGGTGATGGTGAAGATTAAATGCAATAGTAAGGCTGAAGGAGGAGGATCACTTGAAGCCAGGAGTTCAAGACTAGCCTGGGCAACAAAGCCAGACCTCATTTCTATGAAAATATTTTTTAAAAAATGAGCTGGACTTGGTGGCTTAAGCCTGTAGTCCAGCTACTCGGGAGGCTGAGGTGAGACCACCTGAGCCCAGGAGTTTGAGGCTGCAGTGAGTTGTGATTGCACCACTGCACTCCAGCCCAGGCAATAGAGAGAGACCCTATCTCAAATAAATGAGTAAGTGAATAAGTAAAATAATAAAATAATGCATGCAATTAGTACACTAGTACATGATCAGGCACATGATAAATGCTCGATAAATGGTAGCCCTAATAAACTTTGTAATGTTGTAAAGGAGGATGTCCTTTGGACTCAGCCCAGTGACAGAAGCATTTAAAGAGACTGATTTGTATGGTGGCTATTTCCTACAGGTACAAGCCTGTACCTCCAGGGACCCAAGGAATTGGCTCAGTGGGGCACCTTGTTCTATTTAC